TAGATTACTCACCGCTGACTGGACGAGACATCTGTCAATCAAGGTGTTCAGAAAGAACAGCAGAGTAGCGGTAGAAAGTTTGGAGAAACACAGTTTAAATGTATTGTATGAATTGCCTTTACTATGGAATAAAAAAAATATGCATGTACATTTACAACACTGTACTTATATTACCTTTGAATCAGATTACAAAAAACTAGTTAAGGCTAATGTGAGGGTGTTTCTAATGCAGCGTTTGAGCAAATGGGAATGCAAAAAATTAAATAAAAAAACAGGTAGAGGTGTGTTAAATTGGGATTTTTGTGGGGCAGAGAGAATTTAAAGGGGAGACAGTTTTTTTTTTATTAGGACAATTAAACTGGAATTGAGTTATATCAAACAGCATTAAAGTCCCCATGAAATCAAAATGAAAGTTTTTTGGGTGTTAGTATCAATGTGTTAGTCTTAAGGTTATCTATAAGGCAGTGTGCTCCAAAACAGTGACAAAATTCGCATTTAGAAGATATAAGCATTCAAAGCTTGCAGTTCGTCACTTCTGCCAAAACCGATCAACGATTTTTTTTTTGACGTCACCTCGTACTTCATCTTCTCATCAAATCTTCTGACCAATCAAACCACCCGCCCCCTACACTGTAAATAGACGCTGAAGCTGCGGCTAAGATCAGTCACTTGTTCACAGTGTAGTATTTCTTGTACAGTGAATGGCACGTAGTGCACAATGTAGGCGACAGGGAACGAGGCAGACAGTGTAAATATGCTTTCGATTGGGGCAAACGAGGAGAGCACGGACAACGCCTTATTTTGTTTATATTAAGAGATTTCTTTTATTTGTGTTACTTATTTATTTGATTTGGGGCTTGTTTTAAAATTTACATTTACATTATATTTAAATTTTGTTATTTAGCAGACGCTTTTATCCAAAGCGACCAACAAATGAGGACAACAGAAGCAATCAAAACCAACAAAAGAGCAATGATACGCAAGTGCTATATTAGTATATTATTAGTGTTATATTTCAATTTCACAAAGAAACGTGCAGCATTTTGTCCAAGCAATAATAAAAGGACACATTTCATTTATATGTCTTAAATCTAATTTTGTTAAAAAAAAATCGTGAATCGAATCGTGAGTTGAGTGAATCGTTACATCCCTATCGCTGACCCTAAATTGCAACTTCCCACTCTATTAACTTTCTAAAGTGTCAAATCAAGTGGAAAAGACAAATCCAAAAATGCCTATAATCGCTGGATCTGGTTTTCATACCACGGACGCTAAACATTCTTGCAAACTGTCTAAACTGAATTATACATGCAGACACTCATATGGTGATCTCATAGCTGGCTACGGTTATGATTATATATCACTACATGTGTCTCTCTCTCGCTTAAGTGGTGCTCTTTCCTCTTGCTCGTTCTCTCATTTGCCTCCACGATTTCCTGGATATTGTATCTAATTTGCGGGTGTCAGGGAGCCACTATTATGCGGTAGACTCCCGGAGCTTCCGGGAGAGGTGGGATGTCTGCCTTTAAGGGTGCTTTCACACTAGCACTTTTGGTGCGCACCCGGGTTCGATTGACGTCAGAGTTCGGTTCGTT